CTGTAAGATAATGTGTGTAAAATGTGTGTTGTTTTAAGCTGCTGAATGTTAGAGTAATTTGTTACACAACAATAACTAATACAATTTGATACAATAATTTGCAGTCATTCCTGTATGTAATTACTGCTAACTGTCCTAGTGTGAGAACAGCTTCTAGGATTATATCCTACAGTCTACTCTGGTGATCACTCAGTCCGATCACCCAATATTGTAAAACAAAGGTACAAGAGAAAAGGTGGTATCACAATATGAACAAATCTTACAATGCCCAGCACAGAAGTATATAGATAGTGGAGAAGAAACAAAATCGAGACAGCCAGAGCCAGAAGCTAGTCTGTGGAAAATTCTTTCAATCACTGGATGTGAAAAATTAAAAACTGGAGGCTTTAATTTGTACCAATACTGACATTGGTACACCTGTCAGTAATAACCTCAACAATGCATCATCTATAACTGAAAATGCACTATACATTTTTTTCTTTTTTGATGGTAATCATATAAGTTAGAATTCATCAGGATTCCTGTGTTCACAGGGTACAAATCTGTAGTGGGACTACAAATGACAAGTATGTCTATGTGGAAGTTTTATGAATCCCCACATGTAGGATGGCCTTTGGGCATATCTGGTCAAAGTCTGGCAGTTCTAAAGAAGAGGACACACAATTGCCTACAATAGAGCAAATCGGCTTGAAAAAAGAAATATTTCAGTGACAAGACTCTCATATCTATTAATAAGTAAACTGATATATGAAATAATTTTAAAATTCTTGGATTATTTGATAATCCAGTTAATGAAGAAGGGATCATATATGAAAATTCATTGGAACATATTTAAATTTCTTGATGATTTGGCACAAAACTCATAACATGTCATTAAAATGAGGACATCTATGGAAAAAACTGGCTCATGATTATTGTCAATTCAAAGAGCACTTAAGATTAGCAACTGCATAGGAAACTTGAAATGCACAGTACTTAAGTGAACAAAACAAAAAAGAAATTCGAAGAAATTTTTAAGATCACTTGTGAAACTTGATAAATGCTGTCCCAAATTTTACAACATTCCTAAAAATGTATATGCCATTACCAAAAGAGAATACTGAAGCCAAAAGAAACCTTTCTAAAAGTATCAATAACAAATACATTTCAAGGTGTAATCCCAGCACTTTGGGAAGCTGAGGTGGGAGGATCACTTGAGGTCAGGAGTTCAAGACCAGCCTGAGCAAGAGTGAGACTCTGTCCCTACAAAAAATAGAAAAAGTAGCCAGATGTGGTGGCACCTGCCTATAATCCCAGCTACTGGGGAGGCTGAGGCAGGAGGATGGCTTGAGTCCAGGAGTTGGATGTTGCAGTGAGCTATGATGATGCCACTGCATTCTCGCCTGGGCAACAAAGCAAGACCCTATCTCAAAAAAAAAAATACATATATATATATATTTATTTACACATTTCAATCAAGCATGCTAAAGGAAAAGCTGAATTATCCTCTCTATAGAAAATTAATTATATTATCAAATCGTTGACATATGAAAAGGCAATGATAGTATGCACCCAAAGATCACAAGAGAAAAATATTAGAGATGTCAAGAAATTCATAAAATTATCTTATTTTTCTGGGTTTTTTATGTTGTTAGTTGTATTTTTTTTTTTTGGACCTGGTTCTTAGTGTGTCGTTGTTAGTTGTATTTGCCAGCTTTTTAAAATGAGTGCTTTATTATCTCTTTTATTGTTTTGAATAAAACTTAATTTTGCACCCTATTTTTAAATTTTTTTTAACTTTATTTTTTAGAGATGGGGAGAAGTCTCGCTATGTTGACCATGCCGGTCTCAAACTCCTGAGCTCAAGCGATCCTCCTGCCTCATCCTCCCCAGTAGCTTGTACTGCATGCGCGCGCCACCACATTTTTAATGCATATTTTGTATTCTTCTTAAAATGGGTCCCACAAAATCTGGATTTAACCCCAACCCCTTCCCACAGAGGGCAGCTTCAGATTTCTAAAGGTGGACAGAGTGGAGAAAGGCTTTGGTCAGTGGGTTGGATGTGGAGTGGCTTGAGCTTAAGCACCAGGCAAGGCTCAATGCCCAGTGGCAGAGGTGACTGCAGACACTGGTGAAAATGTCAGCTCCGTGGCCTGTGATGCTGGACGCCCGAGCGCTGAGGTGACCGAGTCAGGTCCGAAGCCGATCCCAGCTGGATCAATCAGCTAATCACAGGTCCCAGGACCTCAGGACTGCGCGGGAGCGGGTGGGGGAGAGGCGACCCAGAGAGCTGCCGGGGGTCAGTGGGAAAGGAGGACAGAGCGCTGCGGGGGCGCCGGCGCGCAGTCTGGAAACCAAGAGCCAGCGCCTCCACCTGTTAAGGATTCTTTCTCGGGGGCGGGCAACCCCCACCTGGGAGGCAAGCGCTGGGAACCAGGAGGCAGAGCCCGGGCAGAAGACGTGCTAAGCCCCTGCTGCACCCTGGGGCCGCGCTCTCCTCTCCGGGTGGCTCTGGGTTTCAGACAAACTGCTGCCCGGCGGGGAGGGGCGGAACCTTGCCGGGAGGCGGGGCCATGTCCTGGGGGCGGGACCAGAGCAGGAGCCCTGGCCACGCCCAGGAGGGTGAGGGGCGCCTGGGTTGGGTCAGGAGGAACCTCAGGAGAGTTTTGGCATTTCGCTCCCGTTGGTCGGGGCCGAGGCGCTCTCGAGCTGCTGGAGGGTGGAGAGACAGTTTGGGGAGGGCGTGCTGGAGAGCAAGGTCGGGGCCGGCGGTGGAGTGTCGGCGGAGAGGTACCCCTGCACCGGCGTGGTGCGCCTGGCTGGCGCGCTGGCCAACCTGGAGAACCCGAACCCGCAGCTACCTCTGGAGCTGAAGGGGAAGATGAGCCCTGCGAGGAAAGATGAAGGAAAGAGAGAGCCAGCCAGGCTGAAGGGCTCAGGAAGCGGGCTGGAGGGGTCCTTGGGGGTGGAAGAAGGGGAGAGAGCTAGTGAGCAGGCTGCAAGGAGTGGGCGAGGCGGTAGGCTCCTCTCATCCACCCGTTGCTTGTGGTCGTGAGTGCAAACCCCTCCCCCCAGCTCACTGGCATAATGGCCACGAAGACGTTGACCCAGAGCCCACAGAAGGGCGCGCGCACAGAGAAAGGTCAGAGCCCTGTCCTATCTGCCTTGTCTGATCAGCAGCTTCCCGAATAGGCAGGCCTCAGATATGAGGAGCAGGGCTGTGGGTGCAGAGAGCACATACTGACTCAGAGACAGGCTCCCAACAGGGGCCCAGCTCCCCACCCTGTCCCCTCAGGCACCTCCCCCAGGGCTGGAACACACCTGTGCCTTTCCTAAGCCTGTGCAAATGTTTGTTTCCTCCACCTCCCCAGCATGATAGACTGAAGGAATGGGGTAGTGGCAGCTCCAGGACTCCCCAGGCGAGTCAGTAAACCTCTGGACACCATCCCCCCCGCCACCCCCACCGCCATACCCGGAACGTGGGACAGGGCACCACTGAGAGACTTCTCCCAAGCACCCTTATACCACACCTTCAGGGAAGTTTCAGGAGGCAACCCAGAGGGGCAGGAAGAACAGAAGTGGGAGGGATGATGGGCACCCCAGGGAGAGAGGCAGATGCCTGGGGAGGCAGGGTGTGGAAAAGGGAGGGAGAGAGTTCAGAATTCAGAGCCAGGCTACCTACTGCCACCTGTCCTACCTGCACCTCCATCCCTCCCTGTCTCTGTCCTCCTTACCCCATCCCCATTCCCGTCTCCCATCGGCTCTCCTGGCTGTGGTCCTCATCCCTCGACACCAGCCCCTTTCCCATATAGCTGTGCTTCGTGCCCTTCGGCCCCCCTGGACAGACCTGCAGAATGCAGACGCCTCCAGGACTGCACATACACACTCAGGTCACCCCAAAGTGAAAAGGGGGCTCTAAGATAACAAAAACCAACCCCAGCACATTAGGAAACATGGCAGTCCCCTTCCTTCCTGTCTTCTCAGTCTCTTTTGGAACATAAATGATTGTATTTTATGTGCCTTTATGTCTCCAAAAAAACTCTTATCTGGTCTGCATCTCCCCATTATCCCACTGTTAGAATGTCTTAATTGAAGCATGGGGGTTTCCTTAGTGGCAAGACTGTGGTAGGGGGTATGGAGCTGGGAGGGAAAGGATTGGGGCACATGTACAGCTCTGTCCCTGCCCCTGGATGTCTGTCTGTCTCTCTTTGAGTAGTTCAATGTGTCTCTGTCTTATGCCAAAGAGGGAGAGGGGAGCTTGGCGGGGACGGGCTCTCCCCACCAAGAGGAAGGAGCACGTGCACCCAACACCAGCTCCATCCCGACTACCACTACCTTCTTTCCTGGACTATAATCCCCTGCTCTTTCCCCAGATCTTCCCAGGGCTGCTTCCTTCTTGTCATCTGGGTCTCAGCTCAAAAGTCATCTCTTCCAGGGTCTTTCCTAAAGCCCGCCCCACACATATGTACACATACACAACATTCCGTGTGACAGCCCTTGCCGTATTTTCTTCATGGCACTTACTGCTATCTGATTTTATCTTATTTATTAGTTTGTTGACTTGGCAACTGCCCCCCCTCCACCAAACCCATAGAATGTAGGCTCCCTGAGGGCAAGGCTCTTTTTCATCTGCGTCCCCAGATCCTAGAACAGTGCCTGGCAAATGGAAGGCACTCAATAAATTGGTATAGAATCAAACTGAATTAAACACAGAGATGCTTAGGTGGTCAGTAAAGGGCCTTTATTGCTGACCGACTGCCCTTTTGTCTTTCTTGCTGCTTCTTCGTCCCCTGCCAGAGCCTCAGACGTGCCTGTCCTGCCCTGTCTTCCCCAGCCTGCAGCAGCCCCCAACCACCGCAGCTGCAGACCCGCCACCACCACCACGCTACCCTAGCTCCCTCGGGAGCTATGAGTGGGCCGACACACTCAGGCCTTGAATCTGGCCTCCAAGCCCCAGTCTGCAGCAAAACTGATCCCTGCTCTTGACCAGTGGTCCTGTGAGCACACGCTGCCCTGAAGAGTCTCAGCACAACTCCTCCACCATTTATCGAGGGTTTCCCACATGTCAGCCACTGTGCTAGGCAAGTTTCCAAAGTCACGGTCATGCCAAATGCCAGCGCCCTTCCGCCTGTGAGTCTCCCACAGTCCCTGCACCTCCTGTGGTTGACATGGTGGTTTCTGTCCTGGGCAAGTCACCATTCCTGAGCTGAAAGGAAAGTGTGATGGCCTAGCTCAGGAAGGCTTGTGCCAGGCCTGGGCCCCCTTGCCAGCTAGTGTCAGCTCTGCTGTCTGCATCCCTCACCTCCTCCTGGCATCATGCAGGGGCAGTTTCTCACAGGAAGCAGGTGTTCTGGATGGAGCTGGGCAGCCGCACTCGCTCTCTGTCCTCTCCCCACTGTTTGGCCCAGTGTTTCTGTGAGAGGATCAGGACAAAGGCCAGAAAGCCCAGGGGGTTCACTGGCTGGCCTGTGATCCACAGCTCCCATTTCTTCACCCCAACCTGGGAGCCATGCGGTTCTGAAGCCCGGGGCTGAGTCTGGCTGAGTATAGTTCAGGTTGGGAGATCTGCAGGCAGCGATCACGGAGGTCAGTGTTTGGGGCAAGGAGAAGGAACTGCAGACTCCAGGGGGCCTCAGGCCCCAGCTGCTGGCCATGTTCAGTTTCTAGGGCTCCTCTGCCAGGCTGCTTGGTGGCACCATAACATCACCCTCCAGCTGTCATGGAAAGCTGGCCTCCAAGAGACCCAGGACACAGACCTCTCATCCCCAGCCCTGGCCTCTGACTGCCAAGCCACACTCAGCACACTCTTCTGGAGAGAATAATAGGACAGATGGGGGGAGGGGTGAGAAATGGAGCACTGAGCTATCTGCAGGGGGAGGGCAACCACCACACACACCACGTTCATCAGACTCGCTTCCCTGATGCGTACACACACATACCACATGTGCACATGCACACGCACACGTTCTCTGAGACACACTCTGGATTCTTCTAGAAGAGAGGAACCAGCTTGAGAGGGCACAGGAGGCACCCCAGGAATGGACTCTAATGCTTCCCAGACTCGAAGGCAAGGAAGTCATTGCTGTGGAACCAAGCAGGGTGACTACTGGTCTCCTGAGCCCAGATCACCATCTTTGGCTGGATGGGTTTCTGCTCATCCCTGTTGGCTATTTTATCCTGGGACTTTGTCTCCAAGGAAGCCCTTTTTGAACCGCCATGACCTGGATTCACCTTCCTCGGCTGAGCGTAGCAGGGATACTCTTTAGCCATCGGCTCAGCCAGTTCAGCACTCCCTGGCTGCTCTGCACAGCCTCTGTCTGCACTGGCAATGCATTCAAGCCATCCTTTCTTGTTGCTGTGGGCTCAGACGGCCTATTTTCATTGGCTGCCTGTCCTGAAGCTCGGTCCCTATCGGTTGCCACTAGAGGTAGGGTTTCCACTGACAGTGAATCCAATGGCGGCGTAGGCGTTGTCCTCTCTGAGCCACGCTGCTAGATGGCTCCCAGATGTGCCCTCTCCCCAGCCTGCATTAGGGTGGGGAGGCACTGGGGGTGCCCAAAGAGGGCCCAGCAGCCTGGAGAAGTCTCTGGTGCTGGCGAAGGTGCTTCCTCCTTTCGTGTTCCCCTGTGACTTCACACACCAACTGGGCAGGGAAGGCCCCAGGAAGCCCCTTCAGCCAACCTGGGGAAAGAGAGTCAGGGGCCCAAGTGGGTGGGGGCGGGGAGCAGGTGAGGAGGGAAAGGGGGCCCCGTGGGGCCTTGGGGGTCATGGTGGGTGTAGCAATTAGTGGGGAAGCCTGGAGCATCAGAGGTGGGGTGACAGTAGCATCAGAGCGAGTCTGGGTCACTCCTCTGTCAAGCCCTGCAATGGCTGTTCATCTCAGAGTGAGAGGCCAAGTCCTTACAGGGACCTGCTGGGACCTGCATGATCTGGTCCCTGTTACCCCTGTGACCTCATTTGTTTCTCCCCTTTTCTTGCTCCCTCTAGCCACACTGGCCTCCTTATAGTTCCTCAATCATACTTGGGGGGCCTTAGGGCCTTTGCACTGCCTGTCACCTCCAACGGGGACACTCTTCCCCCAGACACCATGTGCCTAAATTTCTCACCTCCATCAAGTTCACATGTTGCCTTCTCAGTGAGGCCCAGCTCAGCGTCCCTATTTAAAATCGTAACCCTATCCAACCCTGAACTCCTGTCCTCCTCTACCCTGCTCCACTTTGGCTTTTTCCATTGCACTCATCACCTTCCCATACTTTATAATTTCCCTATTTACTTTGTCCATTCCTTATTGTCTGCCTCCTCCACTAGAATGTGTCTCCAGTAGAGCAGGAAGCTCTGTGTGTTTGGTTCAAAGAACAGTGAGTAGCACTTCCTAGATGCTTAATAAATATTTATTAAACAAATAAATGGAAGACTTTCTCACCTTCAGGGCTCTTGTGCAGGTGCTTGGGGGCAGCCCTGGACTCCAGACTCCGTCCTTCAGTCTTGGAAGGTGCAGACAGCTCTGAACACAGTTCCTGGGAACAGTCTGGTTGGGGGTGGGTGACATTATGGTGGGATCAAGACTCTTTTTAGCTTCTCCTCCATACTCCTCTTAAGACTCATTTTTCTCCTTCCCTCTTCCCCTCTAGGGAAACTCACCACAGTCTTCGTAGATGGTGTCCGGGGTACAGGGAAGAGGGCCTGGGGTCGGGAAGGCTCCTAGCCAGCGCTGCATGTCTGATCTGGGGGACAGGGAGGGAGGGGTCACAGTTGGCCCAGGAGATCCTCCTGGGGGCAGAGAAGGGCCCACAGAGGAGAGAGACTGACGAAGGAGGTGGTGGTCTGAGAGGTCAGGTGAGGGCCCCAACGGTGTTTTCTGAAGGAGACACAACTCACAGGGATGAAGCTTGAAGTAGCCGGTGGGTGGGGCGGCCCTGGTGGTTGCTGAGAAGGGAGAGGCGGAAGGTCGGGGGTCCAGATGGGTCTGGAACCTGCTGGGCCTGGACCAGGGATCGATGGGCATAGTCCAGAACCTGTAGCCTCTGCCCACTGCCCAGGGAAGAGGACGTTCAGAGGAAGAGCAGAAGGTCAGCTGGACGCCCCCTCTCCACCCCAGCCTGGGCCTCAACCTCCCTAGGACCCACCTTTTGGGCTGAGTGATGAGCAGCAGGTCACTGAAGAGCAGCAGGCAGAGGGGGGTGAAGCGGGGGCGCGAGGTGAAGAGCACACCCCCCCTCCGGCACCCTAACTCGGTCAGCTCCCCCTGCAACTCCAGGCGCCGTGACCAGGAGACCAGGGGCAGGGCCTGTGAGGAAGCAGAGGAGCTGTAGCTCCGCAGCACCGTGGGCGAGGGCAAGGTGGAGAATCTGGGCAGGGACTCACCTTGACTTTGTGGAAGCGCAGCCTTTGGGTGAGCCGGATCAGCTCTTCAGTCTGTTTCATACGCCCCACCTCGGCGCTGCAGCGCTCAATGATCTGGGCACGGGGAGCTAAGTCACCCCCCTGTGGCCAGCCCCCATGCCCTTCCCTCTCTCCCTACCACCCTGTCACCTCTCCCAGCTTCAGCTTCCTTCCTGCCCACCTTGCTGACAGCACCCAGGGCCTTCTGAGCATTCTCCTGGCGGCTGGACCCCTCCTCTGTCTGACGCAGGATATTCTGGGGACAAGGAGGAAGGGTGACTGAGCCCTCTACTCTGCGGCCCTGGGATTCAGAGGGGCCACAGCTCAGAGGCTCCTGCCTGCATTGCCGAAATGCTCAGTTTGGGGCTCACAGGGCTGAGGGACCAGCTTCGACAAGGCTGAGAGACCTCATCACTTACCGACTGCATAACCCTGAGCACATCATGTTATCTCTCTGAGCCTCAGTTTCCCCATCTGTAAAATGGGGGACAATACCCACCTAGCATATCAATAGCATTGTTGTGAGGATTCAAGGAGGTAACATATGTCAAGTGCTTAGCGTAGTCCTTGGCACATAGTAACTGCTGAAAAGAGGGTTGCTATTATTTTAATAATTATTAACCACAACTGTTAGTGCAAACAACAAAGCAGAGTAGTTCAGGGGGCCTGGATTACAATTGTGTCTTCATCCATTATTTCTGTTTAACCTGGGCAAGTCGTTTAATCTGTGCCTCAATTTCCTCATCTGTAAAGTAGGGTAAATAATAGCTCCTGCCCTCACACAGTTGTCAGTGAGGTCACGCAGGTAGCTGCTAGCACTTAGAACCGTGCCTAGAACAGCACATCGATAGCTATTGAGCTACTGTGATCAGTATCATTATTATCATTGTATTATCTACACTGGGGATGGCTAAGGCTGAGTAAGACACAGAGAAGGTGATAATCTAGTTGGGGACTCTTCACATAAAGAGCCCCACAGTGGGTGACCTGGTTAGGGAGGAGTCTCTACTTTGCAATAACAGAGTGTTTCCCAACTTTCTTTTTTTTTTCCCAGTATCACCACACTAAAGAGGCTTTTTTGGACAATTTTCCCTAAACATCCCCCACCCCCACCATGAAATTTTAATTCTACAGATATACTGTGAATCTGGTTTTTTTTTTTTTTTTTTTTTGACAAGGTCTCACTCTGTCACCTCCGCTAGAGTGCATAGTGGCAGTGTCATAGCTCACTGTAACCTCAAACTCCTGGGCTCAAACGATCCTCCTGCCTCAAGCTCTCGAGTATCTGGGGCTACAGGCGCACGCCACCAGATCCGGCTGATTTTTCTGTTTTTTGTAGAGACAGGGCCTCGCTCTTGCTCAGGCTTTTCTCAAACTCCTGAGCTCAAGCGATCCTCTCGCCTTGGCCTCCCAGAGTGCTAGGATTACAGGCGTGAGCCACCGCACCTGCCTGTGAATCTGTTTATGCACCAAGGCCCTTTGGAGTAGCACAACTATTGGAATATCTAAGATTTTTGTCACCTCCAAGAACCAATTTTTGCCCCCTTGGAGGTGATATCACCCCGCGTTGGGAAGGCATGCAGGTAGAGCAGTACAACCAGAGGACACCTCAAAGACCACTCACCACAATGCCCCTGAGACCCAGAGAGAGGGAGGGACTTGCCCTATGTTGCTCAGCTAGTTAGTGGCAGAGCTAAGTCTAGAACTCATGGTTTCAGCCAGAGACACTTTTCCTGCACCTGTTCTGCCTGCTGGGCATTTGGGCAGCTCCAGGTCGGGCTTGGTGGGTCCTGGACTGAGAGACACAGATTAGGAGTCGTGATGTGAGGAATTTCTGTGTTAACGGTGGAGCAGGAAATGGTGATGGCTGGACAAGAGGCCCGGGGGAGTTCTCCAATGGACTTGGTGGGGCAGAGAGGGCCCCAAGCCAGGACGTACCTGCAGCAGCATGCGGAGCCGGGTGATGCGCTGGAAGGGCAGAAGCAGGAAGGACGGCAGCGGGAGCCGCTCACACTTAGGGAGGCTCTGCAGCCGCCGCAGCTCCGCGGAGAAGCGCACGTTCGTGTCCCTGCAGAAGCAGGCCCTGGCAGTTAGCGGCTGCCCAGAGGCTCAGATGCCCCAGCCTGCTGTGGCCTCCAGCCCTCCCTTCACCCCAGCTTCCTCCCTCACCTCTGGGACACTCACATAAGGCGGCTGTAGGTCTCTTCCTGGTACTGCTGGTTCCGCACGTAATCCACATACACCGAGAAAGGACCCACAGCATGGGCATGCACCACGTCACACAGGTCGCTGATATGGGGGGAAGAGCGCACACGGGACAGTAATGTTCCCAGAAACCTGAAGGAGAAGGGAAGCAAGCACTGGTGTGGGGCAGAGAGCCAGGTTTCCCAAGTTCTTGAGCAAAGAGCTGGGAACTAACTGGGCCCACTCTGGGCCTGGGAGAAATGTAAGGGGGTGCTCAGCAGCCCCGGGCCAGGTCTCCTGGGACCACGGGACCCCACTGACCGCTCGCTGACTTCCTGGACTCGCTGCACATTGGAGAAGAGCGTGTGATGATCACGCGGGGTCAGCGTGTCCCGGAGTGCCTGGCTCAGCACGAAGGTGTCAGTCAGCAGCCGCAGGGAGCGCAGGTAAGAGGCCTCAGACGTCACCACCTCGAACAGACTCTAGCAAGACAAGAAGGGCGGTAGTGGAAAGCCCAGCTGAGCACCAGCCTAGGACCCTGGTCATCCTCCTCCCCTGTGCCTGGCCTACCTCCTGCATGCGCCTCTCCTGGGGGCTGAGGGTGTCCAGGAGGCCACTGGCTTGCACAGCAGGAAGCTCCTGCCACAGGGTGTTGCGAGGTCCAGGGGGCCGTGCAAAGGTGGGAGCTTCTCCAACATTTGCTGGAGAGGGACCCCCATCCTCACCAACCCCCCACAGCTCCTCTGACAGCACAGCGGCTCGGTAGGTCTGGTATAGAGGTTCTAGAGGGCAGACACAGCACTCAGGGAAGCCCAGTGTCCACAACCCTTCCCCACTGCTGGATGGTCTCAGCAGAGACCCCCAGGTCCAGAGGCTCTCACCATCCTGCAAGGGCAGTTCCCAGTTCTGTTCCTTCAGCCCCTCCAGGCTGTCCTCATCCCTGTGGAGAGAGAAAGGGATGGGAGTTCCCAGGGCCACCACTGTCGCGTACCCCAGGGGTGCTATTCACCTGATACCAGAAGGAGTATCAGCATGCAGGTTATGCAGGGACCCTGACAGCTCCCCAATCAAACCCCAGTTTTTTTATGTACCTGTTGGAGGAAAGGCCCTGAACTAAGTGGGACACATCTATTCCTGTTATCTCACCCACTGTGTACCAGAGACTTCCAAGTCTCTGTCTCAGCCCTCTCTTGTAGCAACCATTGTCTGCAATGGCCTGTTCGTGCCTCAGTGAAGCTCAACATGATCAAATGCAAACTCTTACACCTCCGCACCACCACCTGCAGCTGTGCCTCCCCTCATCTGGTCACAGCACCACCACACAGCCATTCGCTCAAGCTAAAAACATATTAGTAAATGTTTGTTGAAGAAATGAACGGACCCAGATTACCTCTGATCATGGTGGTGAATCTAAGATGATTAAGGCCAGATAACACAGAAGAGATGGTCGTGATTGCTAAATGGATTTTGGAGCAGAAATTGCAACAGAGGCTCAAGGTGAGTGAAGGGAAGGAAATGGAGCACTCGCTATGGGCCCCGCTCTTTACCAACAGCAGACCCCAGTGATGCGGTGAGCAGATGCTTATCCCCATTTCATAGATGAGGACACTGACAACCAGAAAGGTTAAGGATTTGTGTGCGGTCACGTAACTAATAAGGGACAGAGCTGGGATTAGAAACCAGAGCTGCTTGTTTCTAGAGCGCTGGCCCTTCTCCCCTGTGCCTTCATGGAGGTGGGATTTAGCCCGACCTAAAGGTTAGTCTGACCTCAGATAGGAGCATGGTGGGGAGAGAAGGGGGGACTAAACATGGGGGCGTTTGGTACCTTCCCTCCATGGATGCTGGAGGAGCATTCTGAGGAGCTTCGTCAGGACTGTCCCCTGGAGAGAGAAGCCAGAGTGAAGAGAGCAACCCCCCGGGACCCCCAGCCCAGGACTGCTGACTCCAGCTCCAGCAGAGACTATCACTATGAGAACTACAATTCCTCTCAGCCCCAGAGCAGCAGCTGGCAGAGGAACAAAGAGCCCAGGGCCTCTTGGGGGTTGTAGTCGATTGGGTTTCAGACCTCCCCTACCCTCTCCCTTCATAGCCCAGAGGTCCACTCCCCAGGCCCTGCACCTGTTTGGATTCCATCTTCGGAAAGCAGATCCAGATCTAACTGTGGAGGGTCCCCAGAGATGGTAGCATCCTGCCTGACCCGAGTTGGTTTGGGGGGCTTGAGGGGTGGCAGGAGTTTGTGCTCGGCAGTGGAGCGGTAGGACGTTAGGACGACTGGGGGGTGACCAATACTTGGAGGGTTGGGGCGGGAGCGGGAGGTCCGCAGGGGCGAGGCCCGGCAGGGGACCCTGGGGCCCTCCTCCTTGCCCCCAACAGGTACCCATCGGAGCTCCAGGCCAGGCCGGGCTGCGTGGCAGACACAGGGGCAGCAGGGAGGGCAGGCCAGGGCCGCATCTGTGGGAGACAGGTGTCCTAAGACGAAAGCCTTTGGGGCCCAGCCCCACCCCACCCAGGCACCTCCAATGCTTAACCTGCCCAGCAACCTGAAAATCGAGCTTCAGCCCCAGGCATCAATAGATCTCCTCTACCCTGACTGTCTTCAAACCCCAGAAATACAGAAACCAGATTTTCCAAACACAAAATCCAATTTTGAAAAGCTAGCCCCTAAAAGTGTTGAAAACGTGTTGAAAATGAAGAAGACGGGATGGATTGAGGCCACCCCAGCCCCACCACACACTTACCTGGAGCACTGTTCTCCTGGGACCCACTCCCGGTGAGGGGAGCCTCTCTCTCCCCGTTCACATCGGTTCCCCCTTGGGGACCTGGTTCCAGGGTGTCTGCAGCCTGGGCCCTGCCTTCAGCTCCCCATTCAAACCTGCCAGCCAGTCTCCGCACAGTGCCAGGGGCCGAGGCAGATCCATCCTGCACCAGGGCCCCCACCGTGGGGAGCAGGGGTAGAGATGTGCGGGGTGACCCGGAGGGCTTGGGTGGGGACACTGGAGACCGGGGAGCAGGTTCTGGGGAGACAGAGTGCCGGGACACTGGACTGGGGGTGCTGGAAGCTGAGTCTGGGAAAGTCTGGGAGTCGAGGCTGGCTCTAGATGACAGGGACAGAAGGGCAGGAGGCTTGAGGGATGCAGCTGGCGGCTCCCAGAAGATAGGGGTGCACATCGGGGTTGGTGCAACATTGGCAGTTCGGGGAAGTTCTTGTGGAGAGGAGCCATTGTGGGGAGGCCCTGGGGACTGGGCAGCCCGGGATCGAGAAGGGGGGCGGGGGCGGATGATCCGAGGGGGCTTCTGGGTAGGGGGTGTTGCTGCAGGAAGAGACTGGGCCGACATCTTCCTCTGAGCTCTTCAAAGGAGTGGGGTACTCTGATGGAGTCATCCCCTGAAGAGAAGAGAGGGAAAGAGACCCTTAGTGCCCCCTAGGTGGGTAGACTGAGGCCATCCGAAGCCATGATTTTGGAGTCAGGAGGGAAGGCTGGCACACCTCTCTCTTTCCTTCTCATTCCCACTGCCTTCTCTCTTCTCCACCTCTCACCCTACTTATCGTTTCATTTTCTGAGGCTCCTGGACCTTCCTGCTGCCACAGTCAAGCCAAAGCAGACAGTGAGGCTGGGGGCAGGAGGTCGGTGGCTAGGTGGAGACCCAGGCTGGGGGGCGGGGGTACCAGAGAGTCAGTACGATCAGTGAGGAGAATTCTGCTGTCAGTAGAGGCCCCCTGTGTCTGCCCAATGAGCTGTGTGTCCGTGGTGTGTGTCATGGAGGTGTGTGTGTGATTCGAGCATGTGCCGCCTCTAGTGTCATGCGAGTGGGGGCTGCACGTTGTGTTGCGACAGCGCACTTGTCCGTGCTCGCTGGGTAGGTGTGCAGCGGGAGGGTGGAGTGCACGGTGCGTGTACAGTGTGCAGCCCACTAAGGAGTATGCAGTGTGAGTGTTCGAGATCGGGGTGCCGGTGGGTATGCGTGGTGTGTGTGCTGTGCTATCTGGGCGCAGTGTGTGCCCGAGTGCGCGCCGGGCCTGGGCTCTGAGGGATGCATCACTGTTTCCCTGCTCCAGCCAGCCCTCCCCCCGCATTTCCCAGTTCCTCCCTCCGGACTCTCCCTTTCCGGATTATTTTTAGTCTCCTTTTCCTGCCATCAAGATTCTTGGAGCCTCTGAATGCCGGAGATGAGGAGGCTCCCGCATGGTCTCTCCTGCCCCTCATCATCTTATCCCTACCCGCCCCTGGGCCTGGTCACAGAGCAGGGCCCAGGTGGAGGCCGGGGTCCTGCCAGGAGGCCTGGGGAGGTGGCCAGGAGAGCAGACTGAAGAATAGGACCAATAGGGCCAGGACTCTGGTCCTCTCTTCCTCCCTAGGGCAAGGAGGCTGCAATCCCAAGAAGGCTTCAGGGTCAGGGCTGGGAAACAGGGGAGCCCCCAAATTCCCTTCAGAAGTCAGCAGGTGGCTGGGCCCAGTGGCTCACGCCTGTAATCCTAGCACTCTGGGAGGCCGAGGCAGGATCACTTGAGGTCAGGAGTTCGAGACCAGCCTGAGCAAGAGCAAGACCCCTGTCTCTACAAAAAATACAAAAATTAGCCGGGCGTGGTCGTGGTGCGTGCCTGTAATCCCAGTTACTTGGGAGGCTGAGGCAGTAGGATCGCTTGAGCCAGGACTATGAGGTTGCTGTGAGCTAGGCTGATGCCACGGCACTCTAGACCAGGTGACAGAGTGAGATGCCATCTCAGATAAAAAAAAAGAAGTCAGCAGGAGAGTCAGACCCCTCCAGACCCCATACTGGGTTCTTGAGAAATAATATAGGACGGGGGCTGGGGGCTGTAGACTGTGAGTCTCACAGCTCAATGGTCTCCGCATTCAGGCAGGAAGCTACTTAGTGAGGTGACCCACACAGTGGCCTTGACCCCTGGCCAGCTTCCCCCCAGCCTCTGCCCCCCTCAAGGATTCTGCCCCCTCAGTACCTGCATTTACTTCCTTCCCCACCCCCACTCAGGGACCCAGGTACTCGGGCCCCAAGCACTCACCCTTGAGTCCCCTCCACTCTCAGTCACCTCTCAGGGCTGAGTGAGTAGGGGCAGGAAACAGGAATTGGATCCTCCTCCCAACCGGACACCTCCCCGCCACACCACCCCACACTCCACATGCGCACACCGGGGCCCTGGAAGATGTGAGGGACCCGTGTCCAGGGTCTGGGAGGTCAGTGGCATCAGGGGAACAGCTGAAACTCAGGCATGAGAGCGGCTGTTCTGTATGTGCAAGTTCCACCGGCATTCCTGTGTGGACAGGGGGCTCACCGGGGCTGGGGGTGGACGGGGTGGGGGTGAGGAAGGGGTGGCCACGTGGCCGGCAGTACAGCATGGGCATCTGGATGCCTCAGTCTCAGCTAAGGGGTGGCGTGTGTCCCTCCACCGCGTATCCGACCATCTCTCCCACGACTTGCACAAACCTGTCTCTTCAGCTTCCCGTCTGTCCCCTGGGTGTGAGCCAACCTACCATTTCACACCCAGGGACGCCCCCCACCCCGGGCTTCCCTCCCGAACTCTGTAATATCTCCCCATGAATTTACCTTTATCTTTTTGGAAGCAGTTTCTATTTTCAGCCTGCCCTGACTGCCCCTTGGAGCAAGAAGTGCTGGGCCGAGTGTCTGTTCCTGTGTTTCTGGGCCGGGAACTGAGGGCCCAGATTGAGATCTCTGCGGAGGAAGCCAGTTCCTCAGCCCCACCCGGCCATTGTGTGGGGTGTGTGTGTGTGGGGGGGTGAGTCTGTGCAGTGTTAGGGGAGGAAGAGTGGGCGAGGGCTCTGGCAGGAGGTAGGGGTGGGGGAGGGGGAGGGGAGGAGGAGTGAGGAGGGAGATCGGGGTCTGTCTCCCGCAGGTATATAGCATTTGTGGAACTCTTGCTGCTCACCCACCATTCTCAGTCCCTGTCTCTGTCCCACTGGGAGGCCTTCATGTTGATTGGCTGGAAGTCAGTACCCCTGGGGATGAGTGGGCAGGGGGATGGGGGTCCTTCTCACCCCTAATTTGCTCTGTGATTGAGGAGCAGAGTTCCAGAGGGCTGTGGGTGCATCTAAAACAACTGAGGGGGTGGAATGAGCCACACCCCAGCCTGGGAAGTAGGGTGGTGGGAGGAAGATCCCAAGGCCAGCTATGAACTCCGGGGCTTTTGCCCACACCCAGGTGCCTGCCTTTGTTGGACCTACATGCCCCCAAATGAGACACTGGAAAGAAAATCCAGAAAGTGGGCAAAACATATGTTTTAACCTCTGTTTTCTCAAAGTAAAAGCCCAAAGTCCTCCTGCCTCAGGGCTCCGCACTGGGCTGCTCTCTGCCTGGAAATCTCCTTCCCCAGGGATGATCCCCTCACCTCCTGCGAGTCAAAGGACTCACTTCTCAATGGGACCTGCCCACCACTCTTTAAAATTGCAACTCGCAGCCTCACATCACATTCCTGAGCTCCCTTTTTGATTGCAGCAATTTACACCTTATGACATCCCATATGGTTTGCTTATGTATTGTTTATAGTGAATTATCTTTCCACATTAGTAAGTAAGCTTCCTGTCTTTTGCATCTGCTTGGTGGAAAAAAAAGGCCAGGCGAGGTGGCTCACGCCTGTAATCCTAGCACTCTGGGAGGCCGAGGCGGGCGGATTGTTTGAGTTC